AAACTACTTTGTTTGGTCTTCCAAAAGAGGACACGACTAGAAATCAGTGGTTAAGTTGTATTTACAACACTGTTCCAGAACAGTTTAACCCAAATATTCAGATGTGTGCAGCGCATTTTATGGAGAACTGTTTCCTGATCCTGGCAGAGTAGACTACAATGCCGGCTGTTCTGATTCACAGACTGTAAGTACGTTTTTTATATATAAAGAATTTGCCACTGACGATTCAAACGCGAGTTTTGAGCAGTGTAGAGTAGGGCTTGTTGTTTGTCATTTCTCCGATCACAAATGCAGACATGGTTTTGTTCACGCGGCACGATGCAACACCACGCGTAAAAACACAGTATAAGTCATTATAATTCGTAATTATGTCCCCACTGGATGCAACAAATGTCTCGTTTGTAATGGGTTTTAATGTTTTTGTCTCGTCGCTCCGGCCGGTACTCGGCATCACAGTATGGTAGGGGCGTAGCATTTTCGTCACATGCTTGGGGTATTCGGCCAATCACAAGGCACTGGATAGCTGGCCAATCAGAGCACACCTCGCTTTTCAGACCGATGAGCTTTGTAAAAATCGATGCGTTTCAGAAAGGCGGGCCATAGAGGAGACACAATAATGTGTTTTTTGAACCTTAAACCGCATAAACACATTTCATTACACCAAATACACAAAATAATGTTCTTTTTAGCAACATCATATGACCCCTTTAATTTTCCAAATACTATTTGCAGCCACAGTTCAATGACAGTGATGATGGTACTACTCACTTCTTCCTTTTGTCTTACTTTCAGCTCTATGTTTTGCCTGCTCCAGTGTAAGAGACTCTGCTTGAAGGTCATGCATATGGGCCAGAACCTCTGGATCAGAACCACCGGACTGCATGTATGCCAGACGCAAGGCTCTGTTTTAAAAACAAATGCACCACAATGCTCGAGTGGTCTGGATGGTTGCTAAAGTGGCACTAAACTTTTGCTAGGGTGTATTGGCTGTGTTGTGTTTAGGAGGTGTCTTGGCAGTTCTTAAAAGAGCCCAATCCTAAGACTTAAAAGCCTATTATTGTTCCTAGATTTGATATGCATACTTCCTTCAATCATGTAAGTGCATGTTTTTTGTCACTTCTTTTATCATCCTGGTAACATGTAAGTTAAAAAGACCAACCTTATCTGAGCAGAGAGAGGTCCAGCCACAGAAGAGATCAAGTCAAAAGTAATATGTTGTGTCTTCTTTTCCTCTGGTGGGTTAGAGGGGACTTCAATTGGATTAGGCCTACAACACCAGCGCAGTATAAACATGCATAAATTGATTTATAGCTTCTCTGCATATTTCCTTTTTCCTCCACTCTCTCTCACCCTTTCATTGAGTTGATTTGAGAGCTGAGCTGCTGCAGCACCTCCTCGTTCCTCTGCTCCTGATTCCTCAGTTCTCGTAGCACTTCCTCGAGATGAGCCGTCCTCTCCCGTCCTGCCAGCTCGGCAAGCCGCTCTTCTATTTCTGGGATAAACACATCATTAAAAAAAAGTAGTGCAGAAGAAATTCACATCAACATGTTCAGAGGTGTTTCAACCAATCACAACATGTGTTTGCAGTTGCTAAGTGAAACAGTGTGACAACTTTTTGGGGTCCCATTTAAGCCTGTAGACTTTAGAAAACAAACTCTTTTCAAACTCTTCAGCATTCTGGGGTAGGAAAGACATTTCAAAACATTTTGGGTATAGACTCTAGCTAATTTCATTTCTAGCATTTTATGTATGCTAAATCCACACATTTTACAGCTAGATTGAAAATATGAATAAGTGATTTACCACATGTGATCTTCAAAAAACAAAAGGAAAAAAGTTCTTAAGTGTTTTCAATAACTTTACACAAAAATTCACTTTTGGCACATACACAGAAACAATTGGAGTAAATTTTGGTAGTAAATTAGCAAAGAATCAGCAAGTAACATATTGAATTAGAAGTGAAATTCTAAAGAAGAAAAACTTTAGTATTTTCTTGTAAAACACTTTTTTTAGTTTTTGCCCAAACAAAACTAAATAAACTATAATTATTGTTGCTAATTGTGAATATATGTACACCCAAAAACAATAGCTTTCTTTTCTCATTCTTATGACAGAAGTTACCCTCTCTCTGCTTCTCCAGCTGATGGTTGCATGCTCTGATCTCAGCCAGTCTCTGCTCATGAAGAGCCCTGTGCTCATCGGCTCTCTGCTGGAGTGAGGCCTGCTCCTCAGACACCTGAAGAACAACTTACCCAATGTCCAAAACACGTAATACCACATACACAAGCACAATATGCACATTATAAACAGATTTATAGAACTAAGCATATCAAACTGACCTCTGTCTGTCTTCTGGGCAGGTTTTGTTCAAATGAAATCCTGAGTTTTTGAAACTAAAACAGAAGATCATCAGATGAAGCATAAAAACCACTCTGAACCAGATTTATTAAGTTTGTATGTGGTCCTGTACCTCCTCAGTGAGTTTGTTAAGTGCAGTATTCTCTGACACATTGTCCTGTGCACTTTCGCTCTCATGATTTCTCTGTTCCTTCAGCTGGCCAATGGAACAAGAAACATTTTTACTAACTGTATTACTTTAATTACCATTCAAAATTTTTGGGTAGGTGTGATTTTTTTTTTGTTTCATCTTGAAACAGTACTTCAATATTTGAGCAACTGTTTATTAACTGCTCTGTTTATTCAAATTAGTTATTTTTTTTATTATACACAGTATATTTTAATATACAAATCAACTGCAGGTTTTTGGAATAATTGTATAATATTAAACTACTTACAATAATTAAATCAGGTGTCCTTGTCCTTGTAGGATGCACCGTCTTTATGTACCTCCTCAGTGAGTTTGTTAAGTGCAGTATTCTCTGACACATTGTCCTGTGCACTTTCGCTCTCATGATTTCTCTGTTCCTTCAGCTGGCCAATGGAACAAGAAACATTTTTACTAACTGTATTACTTTAATTACCATTCAAAATTTTTGGGTAGGTGTGATTTTTTTTTTGTTTCATCTTGAAACAGTACTTCAATATTTGAGCAACTGTTTATTAACTGCTCTGTTTATTCAAATTAGTTATTTTTTTTATTATACACAGTATATTTTAATATACAAATCAACTGCAGGTTTTTGGAATAATTGTATAATATTAAACTACTTACAATAATTAAATCAGGTGTCCTTGTCCTTGTAGGATGCACCGTCTTCACAGCTGCTTGTTCTTTTTGAGTGAATCCCCTTTGACCTCTCCATAGAGCTACTGGATCTTTTAGGTCTGTGCCAATGCAGAATTTGGCTGTGTGTTTATCCAAGAGTTCAGTAGAATGGAATGCCATCTTACAGTTCCGACAAATTAAGTCCCCCAAACCTTCCATCTCTCCAGCAAATTATTAAAGTTAGCAACTTTTTCCCTATTGAAATTCTAAACTGGACCCAGAAAGACTGATTCTTAAAAATTAGGAATATACTTTTTGTTAGAATGTCTGCCTTAACTTATATGTACTGGATTTGTTGACTGAAGTTGTGTTTGTTGGTTACAATCACCTTGGAAAAAGGGAGTGGTAAAGAATGGATGGGGTTAGAGCAAGAGGAATCCAACCCTTCAGTGCTATGCTTATTTTTATCCTTTGCATGCGTATTTTCAACATTATCAACTGCCCTCCTAAACCATGAAGAATGATTCCCCAAGTGTTTCAGCAGAAAACGAAAGGCTGGACATGTTTGGCAAACTGATGCAAAATATTTATTACAATTTTTTTCTCCGATCTTTTCATTATGATGCAGTAGTTTATGTCTGCTTTGTCTCATACAGATAAACCCATACATGACACCTTTTATCTTCTCAAATCTGTAAATAATGTTATCAAAATAATCTTAATCTTCCAAAACTCACAATTTTTTATTCTTATATTTTTTACAATCCACCCTGAATATCAAGGCTGCAGAAACAACATAATGCAAACAAAACAAGAAAAAGAAAAAACTATGTGGGAATTTTTTACAGCTGTACCAAAATTAAAAAAGAAACTTGAATCTGTAATAAAGCTATTTTTATACCCTATCAGCAAAAACAAGGTACAAAAAAAGGAGATGCACAATTTATACCAGCAGTCCCTCATGACATAAAGAACTTCTAGAGATGGATCTCTACTTTACTGCCAGCAGCAGGGATAGAACTCCGCGCCCAAAATGAACGGTTTAAAGAACAAAAAAAGCAGAACAAAGCGTGCAAGCCATCTTACCGAATCGCTCAAAGAAAGTTCACAGTCATTACAAACCATAGACAGCTCGGATCAATTCCTGCATTGTAAATATTACATAAGCCCAATAATGTTTAATGCTTTCTATTCCATTGGGTAGATTTTATTTGGGTTTTGTGAGGGAATAAGATCATCAAACCTTTCTTGTGTTTATTGAATACCCCTTATCAATCTACATGCAATGAATGTAAAGCTATTGAAAATGATTGCCACAGCATTATTTCTGTAAGCATGAAAATGCTTTTTAAAGAGTAACTGAAATGTTCAGGATTTCAATATGGTTTAAATTGAGGTTATTCAGGAAAAAACCCAGAAAAAACAAAACCATATATGGGCATGAAAGAAAACTGTCTGTTTGTGATTTTTTTAACTTCAACCTTTCCTAAACAGAACCCAACCTCAGTGAACTGAACATCTGTATGTTCGCCTGGCTTCCCAGAACGCAACATATAAAACATAGACCCTTGCATCCAAACATTACCTTTATTCAAAAACCAGTTCCTGACAAACTCTTCTGCAAGCTAGGTTTCAAATCTAACTTTTAAACATCCTTTAAGGTTTTCTCACACGTGTACTTGACAGACATATGAAATCAGGTATATTAGTATGATTCTGCAGAATGAAACGAGTGAAAATGAGCAGTTTGCTGGAAATGGAGCCAGAAATGGACTGATGTTCTAGCTGCCAGACTGCATGTGACAGTCCATTCAGTGTTGCTTTAGTTCCTCCTTGCTGCAGGGATGACTGGCTTGAGTTCATTTCTATGAGGGACTGGGAGCAATGTCGCAGTCAGCGGCTCACAATGATTGTTTCATCTTAACACTAATGCTACGAATTGTTTTCGCGGAAAGGAAAAAATATTTTTTAGAAAGGTGTCAAAGCCATTTTATAGAACATTCAGATAATGTCATATTTCACGTTAAATCACGGTTATAATTGGTGTTATTATAATTTTTTCCCCCAAGCAAAAACAAAAAAGATATGGTGGAGGGTGTGTGTGGCTTTCTTTGACATTTCTAGTTCAGCAGAAATAACAAAAAGCAGACAAGGAGAGAGGGGGCAAAAAATCTAACAGAAAGACACTGCCTATGAGCTGACAAGTGAATTATTTTTCTCTCCGCCTGGGATATGACCGATGTTCCTTGTCCATGAAAATAATCTTTTCTCTCTTCTTCTTTTAGTTTGAAATAAATGGGTGTGATGGAGGAGACAGATTAAGGTAAAGAGAGAAAGGGAAATGTGGGAGGGGTGTTTAAAGCCACATTAGGTATCCTCATCATCGGAGGTCTGGCTGCTACTGCTCGTCTCAGACTCAGAGCCCTCTTCCAGGCCAGGGTTAGGGGTGTTCCTCCAGTTTAGCAGGGCCACACTACGTGGCTTCAAGAGCACACCGTTACGTCCCAGACCAATCTTCTTCATCTGAGACAAAACACAAATATAGTCAGTCACCGAGGAAATTAACTATAAATGTGTAGGATGTACTTAAATTTAAACCAAGAATAAAAAAAGTGAAATAGAAACTATATGTATACATTTCCCATACCTGTTCAGTTTTAGCTTGAAACTCTTTGAGTTCATCCTCAGTGAGGGGCTGGAAGTTTTCATCATTTTCTGGGTATTCTTGCCATCCCATTGCCTTCAGCAACCTGTCACAGAGGATCCATATGTGTGAGTATGTGCATTGTGGATGTTGTCTATGTTGTTGGGACGTGAGCGGATCAATGTGAGGCTCTGTTCAAAAACCTAGTGTGATGCCTATGAAGGTATAGCATTACACTATAAATGTGTCCCTAAGGGACCAAAGATACCTGATTTTGGCCAAATTATAAGGAGCCATTGCACGTATCCTTCATGAGAAAATTTATTTGAGATGCAATGTGATGAAGCTCAGTTAAAAAATAAATTCAATGCGGTGGTTGAAACAAAAGATATTTGCTTGTAAATAAGTATATTTAATTGCTAGTTTAGCAACATGCTATTTGCCAACTCATGAACCCAGTAGTCTTCCATATGCATGAGAAGCGATATTTGTATAACATATGGCATTGCTGCCCATGTAAAATTCACCCAAAAATGAAAATTCTGTCATCATTTACTCACTCTCGTGTTTTTTTTTCCCAAATCTGTATGCATTTTGTTCTTCTGCTGACCAGAAAATATTTTAAAGATATATTTGAATGCTTCATTTCGGTTCCCATTGACTTTCATTATATTTTTGTCCACACAATACAAGTCAATGGGAACTGAACCGTTTTGAGGATTCTTTAAAACAAAATATTTTTTGTGTTTCTTACAAGAAAGAAAGTAACACTCAACATGACTGAGTAAATGATGACAGATTTTTCATGTTTGGGTGGACATTCACTCATTCACTCATGTAGGCAATTCACTAGAATCTGGAAGTGAGTTTATATGTGTCTGATGGAGGAGAATGCTTTGAAGTGTTTGTATGTGGTCGCTCTGACCTGTGTTCCGCCTCCAGAGAGCTGGACAAGTGCTCTGGGTCTGAGTCACTGAGAGAGTGGTTTCATGACTGTCTTTTTTCTCCCAAATCTGTATGCATTTTGTTCTTCTGCTGACCAGAAAATATTTTAAAGATATATTTGAATGCTTCATTTCGGTTCCCATTGACTTTCATTATATTTTTGTCCACACAATACAAGTCAATGGGAACTGAACCGTTTTGAGGATTCTTTAAAACAAAATATTTTTTGTGTTTCTCACAAGAAAGAAAGTAACACTCAACATGACTGAGTAAATGATGACAGATTTTTCATGTTTGGGTGGACATTCACTCATTCACTCATGTAGGCAATTCACTAGAATCTGGAAGTGAGTTTATATGTGTCTGATGGAGGAGAATGCTTTGAAGTGTTTGTATGTGGTCGCTCTGACCTGTGTTCCGCCTCCAGAGAGCTGGACAAGTGCTCTGGGTCTGAGTCACTGAGAGAGTGGGAGACGCCGTTCTCATGACTCTCTCCAAACTCTTTTGGTTCTGGGGTACTTCCCTCTCCCTAAACACAAAGATAAACCACAAATTAAGCCTCAGCAACCATAAATTTAAGGAAATCTATGAATCTTTCCATTTATTAGCAGTTTTGAAAATCTGGTTGCTCATGGCTAATATAATGCTTATAAACAAAACAGATGGAAATAATTTTTATATATTACATAATTTTACCTTCTAATCCCCCCCACAAAAAAAAAAAATGAAAAAAATTGAAAAAAATTATAAGAATTTGTGACCCTGGACCACAAAACCAGTCTTAAGTCGTTGGGGTATATTTGTAGCAATAGCCAAAAATACATTGTATGGGTCAAAATGTTTGATTTTTCTTTTATGCCAAAAATCATTAGAATATTTAATAAAGATAATGTTCCATGAAGTTATTTTGTAAATTTCCTACTGTAAATATATTAAAACTAAATTTTTGATTAGTAATATGCATTGCTAAGAACTTAATTTGGACAACTTTAAAAGGCGATTTTCTCAAAATTGAGATTTTTCTCGGCCAAATATTGTCCTATCTTAACAAACCATACATCAATGGAACGATTATTTATTCAGCTTTTGAAAAATTTACCCTTATGACTGGTTTTGTGGTCCAGGGTCACATTTATTGACAAGGTTGTAGGTGGATTTGGAACTAATATAAACAAGATTTCTCCAAATCTGTTAATAAGCCAATTCTGATAATCTTAAACCGAGCCTGTAATGACAAATTAATTAACCTATTACATCAGCTAATACTCTACAGATCAGAGATGAACTCATGTGCACCTCTGTTGGAGCTCCTGGGCTGTGGCAGTCACTCACATCCCCATTTCTCTCATCCTTTAGCCCACGCAGGAACTCACTCTTACGGTCTGTGCTGCGCCGCATCAGCTTTAGCCGTGAGGGGGTGATGTCTATTGGAGGGGTAGTGCTGGAAGGCGGCTATGGAGAGAGAGAGCGAGAAGGAGAGATGGAAAGATAAACACGAGTTAAAAATAAGAAAATGCTGGGTAAGCAGCCATGTTGATTATTGATGTTCTCCTATGGATAAACATGATAACGTTTGTTTGATGAATAACTGAGACCACTGAAGCGTAGAGCAGCTCGGTGTTGTAAACATTTTTCTTTCATTCTTCATCTGCTTGTGTGTTTTGTAAATAGAGGAATTATATAATGACACCATGAAAGCATTTGCTCTGAAATGAAGCCAAAAGCAATCATATTTTCTGGAAATGTTGGGTACTAGGTCCTTACTGGCAAAAGACTAGAAGGAATTTAGAAGGTCTGGTAACACTTTATTTTAAGGACCAATTCTCACTATTAACTAGCATGCAGATTAATAGCATATTGGCTGCTTATTAGTACTTATAAAGCACATATTACTGCCTTGGTCCCATTTTATATTAAGTGGCCCTAATACCTGTGTACTTACATAGTAACTAGTTGAGTACGTAGTATGTAACCACAGTGTAAGTACACATTGGTACATAGTATCTACAGCTCTAATGTATGTGTAACTACACATATGTAACAACCCACTGAATGGTATGTGTAAGTACAAATGTGTAACAGGACATTGGTAACAACACTTTTTGGTAATGAAAGTACAAATGTGTAACAGGACTAACAGCACTTTTTGGTAAAGAAAGGGTTACACTTTATATTAGATTTACCATGTAATTACTCAGCACCGGCCAGTAAGTTAGGCTTTACATAAAATTGTGGTTGGTGTCCAGAATGTTACACTTTACATTAAATGGACCACTCCTGAGGAGTTACCATGCAAGTACACTGGTATTACAGTGGTGCACCAACTCGAGATCCAACTCCTCCCACTCTACATATCCCCAAACCTACCCATCTCCACCCCCTGGATCAAATGGTTCCAATTACTCTTATACATACTGTTGTTACAAAATGTAGTTATATAATTCCTGTTACACGACTACTTAGTGAAGTGAAAAAAAGTGTTGTTACCAATGTCCTGTTACACATTTGTACTTACACAAACCATTCTGAGGGTTGTTACATGTGTGTAGTTACAGAAATATTACAGCTGTAGATACTATATACCAATGTGTACTTATACGGTTGTTACATACTATGTACTAGGGCTGTGCTATATGGACAAAAAAAAAACTATCGCGATTTCTTTGATCAATTTTGCGATTTCGATTTTAATCACGATTTTGACACACACAGACATGCTTTACAGTCATAAATGCATTCAGTGTGAATTTGAATCATATTTCCAAAAGAAAACCAATTAGAGCTTTATCAAAAAGTTGTAACATGTCTCTAGAACAGACATAAGGCAAAATAATCACTAAGTAAAGGTGTAACAAAATGTCTCTAGAATAGACATATGGGACGCTGGGTCCAGTGATGGGGACTTTAGAACCATTGGCGGGAAGAGGGCCAGTACTGGCAAAACCAGCTGAAAATGCAGCACTGGGATCCTCCTTAGACACTTTCTTAATGACCAGCATCTTAGACATAACCTGCTTAGCACTAGGGGGGTTCTCTGTAACAGAAATGGCAAAAAAATAAAATAAATAAATAAACCTTACAGAACAAAAAAGAAAATGTAACATGATATTAAAATTTTTATGCAGCTGGAAGGAGGTGACTCAATTAATGAAAGCAACTTTACCCCATACTCCTGCTGGAGTACCGACAGCACGAGGCTGATTGGCTGGCTTTCCAGTTGTCTCAGGGTTCAAGGAGGGCTGAAATTCACATGAAAACAGAAAGCCTGAATGCAAACTAACTATGCAGCTGCTTCATGAAAGGCATGTAAAGTATGACAGAATTAAACCTCTTCAATCACACAACCAGTTAACTCATGCCTGGGAGGGGTGTGACTCCACTATACAAGTAAACAAACTCAAGACGAAAAGAATACTTACAAAGTCCTCATCAACAAACTTGAGTTTGTCATCATTGCGTTCCTCATCAGAATATCTGTCCTGATATGGGCCACCTTTGCGTGGATGAAAGTTTCCATTGCGCTGTCGGTGACCCCCTTGTCTGTCCCTCTCGCCTCCACCACGTTTGATATGCCGAGCATGGTGGTGGTGAGGACCTTCCTGGCCTCTCTGTGCCCCATGCCAGCTGGGGGTCTCCTTCCACCCTGGTCCGCCTCCCAATCCCCCCTGACTCCCCTTCGCAACACCAGAGTCTACAGAGTCATGCCTCAACAGAGATGGCTGTTGCCACCCATCACCTGAAGAGAAAATGCACAGCTATTACAAAGGGCAAGAAATAGATTACCAATGCATGCAAAGGAGGTTAGATGTGTGTTCCTCTACCTCCAGGTGCCCTTAGTGGGTCATTGTTGAAAAAGCCATCGGAAGAGTTGTGCCTGCGGCGGTTTACTCCCGGCCGGCTGTCTCCGCGGGGAAAGTGCTCTCCATGCTTCTCAAGGGGGGCAGCAGGGGACTAAAAATCACGAACACAAATTAAACAGACAGCTTCAGTTTAAAAAGCTTATTTTAGAGAAGAATGATTAGGCTCAAGAGAACTAAGAGAGGCTGTTAAGTCATACTGTCCTGAATAAAAACATAAAAAATAAACAAAACAAAAAAAAGCAGTCAATACAAAGTCAACAATCCATTACAATACCTTGGCGGGCTGAGGCGTGGAGAAGTTAAGCCAGGCAGGAACAAAGTCATGCTGCGCCATTTAGGTCCAGTGTCTCCCGTCAGTGGATGGAGGCATCAAACCTCATGGCCTGAACTGACAATGCAAGCAACAAACATCACATCATTATAATCTACTAATACAAGTAAGTCACAATAATGCAAACATATTTAAAGTCAGCATGAAATGGAAATTGCAATTGTCCTTGCTTTCCTATTGTGACAAATAGAAAAAGGGCAGGACATTTGATTGGATGATTGTCGTTTGCTAATTGCTGTGATTGTGAATGAGGGTGGCAAGTAGGCTTGCCACGATAGACGGTGCTGACGGTGATACCGTTGTTAAGCCGCAACACCGGTTACGTCACTTGCCCACCGCAGCACCGACCCCCACCATCGTTTAGATTTTTTTATAGTAATAAAAATCATTTAGTTCAGTAAAAGAACAGACACTACAATTAAAAACGGAACGCGGCTACTCAATGCAGCGTGCCGAACGACAGTCGCATCATCACAGATCAGATTTAATTTCTCCAGTGAGGAGAGTGAGTCGAGCTGACTGACAAGAAGAGTGAGGTGAGACAGACAAGACGATCGCGGATGATTTAGTTTCGAAACGAAATGCAAAAGCGCCTGTTTGGCAGTATTTTGGATTTAGAAAATCTTGTTGACTTTTGCCGTTTATCTAAGGTGATTTTGAAAGTTTTTTTAAATATTCGTTTCTTATTTAATTGGTTCCACAGTGTTTGCTGCTTTTTACTTTATTTAAACTTTGTATAATTTATTTTATTTGACACCAAGGTGTATGCCGTGCCTCCAAGCTTTCTTATTCGTTTTGCTAATAAACTTTCTACGTTTCTTATTTATTTGGTTATATATTATACATGTTTACTTATTTCCAGTTTTGTATAGGCTACCTATTTAAACTTTATGTAAGTTATTTTATATTAGGCACAGCCTGCCCTATAGCATGGTGTATTTTTATTTGATTTGTTAATAAAAGTTCTATGTTTTATATATAGGCTAAAGTGAGTTTGACGTTGTATTTTGTTGTTGCATTCAAGCAATTGACACCGAATTGTCACTAATTCGATTGAAAGTAAAATGCGCACGGTGCTTTTAAGCTATTTAAAAGCGAAGGAAAGCGAGGAAAAGAGGGAAAATTCAAACGAACTAATAAACGAAAACAAATTGCTTTACGCCGAATTGCCGTTATTTGAAAGTGAAAATAAAATGCGCACGCCGCTTTTAAAGCTATTTAAAATTGGAGGAAAAGAGGAAATGCCCCTGCCCCCAAGGTGATACCGGTATTATCGGTGTTGTTGTCACATGTCGATTAACCGGTGGGAAAATTTCCTCACCGTCACAACCCTAGTGGCAAGTTGGTGGAGAAGTTTTTTAATTAGTCTAGCCATCGGATAACTTCGTTGCCCAGCCCCTGAGCAGATGTACACGTCATCATCCTTGATATCATTCCGGGGAGGAGGATACATTAATGTTTTTAATTAAAGATTACAAGGGTATATTAATTTTTTTTTAAATAAAGATGTACATGGATGAATCATTCATAAAAAATACTGCAATATTCCATTAAAATTAGTCTAGCCATCGGATAACTTCGTTGCCCAGCCCCTGAGCAGATGTACACGTCATCATCCTTGATATCATTCCGGGGAGGAGGATACATTAATGTTTTTAATTAAAGATTACAAGGGTATATTAATTTTTTTTAAATAAAGATGTACATGGATGAATCATTCATAAAAAATACTGCAATATTCCATTAAAAAAAACAAGAAATTTCATCTTTGATTTAAAGGTGACTTTAAAAGGTGAAAAGTGCCATTTCTGCAGCACCAAATACAAAAGGAATAACTGTTTTTAAACAGTTTTTGAATACTCCCTCCCCCATCAGACAAAGGTCAGGAAACAAAATAGTCTTGCCCTGACACTCATGTTGCTGAGTCAGGCTGATTGTGATACTCAATGAAAGAGAAAAACGTTTTGAAAGCACCGCAGGGCCAGTGCTCACCCTTTTTATGGATATCAACCTACAAATGACTTACAGTTGTATCTGCGTATTAAAGATGCTACAAATTATTTTTGGAATACCATGCATAAAATATGCCCCACAACTTGACAGATATCACTAAAAAAAGGTGTCCATAGAAACCACACCTGTGCCAGCCAGCCAGCCCTAGGAATGAAGGAGCTGGTCCACACATTTGAAGCAAACTGAAAACCACTTGAATGTGGAGGGGTGGAGTTTAACCAGACTAAATGATTGGAGAAGTCCAGCATGTTACCAGAGAAAAGTCTGTCATTTTCACCAGAAGATCAAGTTATGACAAAGTGATTTAAATATTATGAGGCCCAAATTTTTTTTATTTTATTTAACAACACAAGAAGATCTATAACATGCATTTTCAAGACGTTTCTAGCAAGAAGTTTCTAGGTTAAACATTAAAACAAAAAAAACACTAACTTCTGTTTTATTGCTCTCTTGGCCTTGATATGATTGACTATTTACTTAGACTCACAAGAACTAACTTTAAAACAATACATTCTACTTAATGACAAATCTCAAATTCCATTACATAAGTGGTAACTCATTCAAAGTACAAAATAACCAATACCAAAGAAAGTTCCAACTAAATGTTGTGGATTCTTACCCCAGAGACAAAGGCTCGATGACCCTGTCCTTGGCTGTATCTGTGTAGAGGGCCCAACCAATGCACTTTCACGGGCTTTGAAGCCTCAGGACAACCGCTACTCCTGTCACAGGCAAACTCCAGTTTCCAGGATGGTGCAAAGAAAAAGATGGAAGTGAAACTTGTGCAGCTCAAGGTGAAACTGTTAGGTGATGGAAGAGATGCAGACGTGTTGTTCTTAATCAGTGGCGTGTAGTTTTGGAAGAATAGCGGATATGTTTGATCAGTAATGCCAGAGTGACTCTACACAACACCCTTAGTTCACAGATGATGACTGTGTGCATTCAGGTCAACTGGATACAAATGAAGCAAATCCAAGGGGTTTTGAAATGAAACTCTGTTTGAGTCTTGGACTTTCCAGTCTCTTATTCTGGGTTCTTGTGGTAGCAGCACGTTGTGCCTGCTCTGACACTCAGAAGCTCCTTTACGAACTCATTTTGGACTGAAGACACACACAGCAACAAAAAAACGGAGAGTGGGTTTGTACCACACAAAGCTGTTTTGCGCAAAGTGGTGATCTGAATATGTTCACCTCATCAAAACAGTGAAGGTGCTACGTCAGGGCGAAAAGGGGAGGGGGGCTGATTTGTCACATCACAATAGCTAGAAGTGCTTTATATTATAAAGTCATGAGAATTGTTTTAACTTTCAACAGCTCATACTTCAGGTGATTCAGTAAACCAAACAATGAAAACTTGACATCTTTAATTCTCGCCCCACATGGCTGATAAATGGCTGGTGAACCAATATCACGTTAGGCTACCGAAAAAATTTAAGGTAAATATGATTTGACCTCTAACAACACTTCCAACCTTCCAGTTCATCAAATTCAAAGTAGCTTCCAGAGGTGAGTAAATTGAAGCCAAAGTGCACAGATTCCTGTTAAAAATGGTGAACCGTGCATTGGCAATTCAGCAAAACCAAAACAAAAGCGTCCAGGTGCAAGCAAACCTTGAACATTCAATAATGTGAAACAACAGGTGTACTCCAGATTGTATTACTGCATGTTGGGAGATCTCGGGTCTTTTAAAATCCTGCAGTCACAAATCCAACAGGTCATTCCTCCTCCAGATCTTCACAATGTATCTGCAGACCAACTCTGTAAAATAACAACCAATATTTAGATAAATTTTATCCTAAATAAATGTATGTGTGTGTAAATGTGAGATCACACAGCAATTAATGGCAAAATTAATTTCTTCTTACAAATGGGTAGCTGACAAGGCATCAATCAAAGACAGTTGTGTTCTGCAGGGTGACATGCTATAGCCTACTTAAAGGGTTAGTTCACCCAAAAATTAAAATTAGGCTGCGTTTTACTCCGAGGCATCCTAGGTGTATATGACTTTCTTCTTTCAGACGAATCCAGTCGGAGTTATATTAAAAATAGTCTTTGATATTTCAAGCTCTATCATTGCAGTCAGCAGGTGTTGCATTGCTTCAGTCCAAAAGAAGTTAAATAAAAAGCGCCCATCCATAAAACAGTGTCTCACACGGCTCCGGGGGGTGAACAAAGGCCTCCTGTAGCGAATCGATGTGTTTTTGTACGAAAAATATCCATATTCAAAACGTAATAATCACTTGAATCTAGCTTGCGCTCACTGTTGTAAACAGAAGCAGTTCCGGGGGAATGACGCATGACATCGGCTTTGCGCATGCGCCGCTCAGAAGTGACGAATGTGGAAACGCAGCAGAGAGATCAAAACAAAACAACGGTCAAGACTTAGAAGTACAAAACGAGAATTTGTAAGGAAGAATGTCAGAGGATTTCGATATAAGCCAAGAGGAGACTAGTTTTCCTTTGCTAAAATAAGGAAACTTTGCTTCCTTTGCTCCTGTTAACAAACGTTGGTTTTCACAAGACTCATGCGCAACGTTGACCTCATACGTCATGCTCCCGGAACTGCTTCTGTGTACAACTGCTGGCACAAGCTAGATTAAAGTGATTATTACATTCTGAATATGGATATTTTTCTTACAAAAATGCATCGAGTCGCTAGAGGAGGCCATTGTTAACCCCCTGGAACCGCGTGAGACACTTTTCTTTTATGCATGGGCGCTTTTTATTTAACTTCTTTTGGACTGAAGCCATGCAACACCCACTGACTGCAATGATAGAGCTTGAAAGATCAAAGACAATTTTTAATATAACTCCGACTGGATTCGTCTGAAAGAAGAAAGTCATATACACCTAGGATGCCCCGGGGGCGAGTAAAACGCAGCCTAATTTTTTTTTTGGGGTGAACTAACCCTTTCATCTAAAACTTTCGAAATTATGTTTTTCCAATCGTGAATAATTTTTATGAATACAGCTTCTATAACCTCAAACAGAGACTATATTTGAAAATATTTGAGCACAACAAAAAAAAGTTACAAAGCAGAACTACTGTCAAATTAAAGAAAAGTTCAGGTGATCTGCCATTGTCAACTATCCAATTATGCTGGCTACTAAAAAAACATCAGCACAATAAGCTGCTTTCACAGGTTAAAAGTGCTACTAAAACAGATACTTTACACACTCCACCTGCAATAAAAATATTGAATATTTAACTACTTTCATAAAAAATAAATACATACATAAACATTATTGCCACTCATTTCACCATTTTCAAAACCTGTATGTTTTCCCCCCTCAGAGGAACACAAAAGGAGATAACAGGCAGAATGACATCTCTTGTCTTGTCATTTTACTTTCACTGCATGGAAAAACAGTGAAAGTGAATGATGACTGATACAGTCAGGTCACTAACATTCTGCCAAACAAGTCTTTTTCTATTGCTCAGAATAAGGTACATCATATAGGTTTGGAACAAAATGAGAGCGAGTAAATTATGACAAAAAAATGTCATTTTTGAATGAATTACACTTTTAACATGACTAATCATCGCTTTTTTTAATGAAATATATCTGTCCACGGCCGTGAACTGTCTAGCTAACGTTACAATAAGATAAGCAAGTTATCTGTAAAATGCAAAACAGCTTAAGTAGAAAGTAAAGTGGAGGAAAACTAAGAGCAGACGTATAACTAGTAAAAGAGTTAGCTGCAGAATATAAACAACAATCGACTTTCAAATATATTTGTGATAATTGCAAACTATTATTTAATATGCTCAGCCAAACGTTCTGGAGCATACAGGAGTTAAAAATACTAACAAACTTACTCGTCTTTCTAACGTTACTTGCAGAACGCTCGCTAGCACGGCACAGTTAGCATAGTAGGCCATTCAATGTGTGCAGAAACCTTTTAGTACACGCCGAGTGATTAAATGTAAACTTTTAGAGCAAAGAAACTTTTAGGCATTATTAGACGGATACATAAGAGTGACTTATAACGACTCGGGCTTGTGTCGTGACGGAATGCGTGTTGTTTTAGCCACGGCGCGAGCTAGGCTAAGCTAGCATTCCGAGCAGAAATAAAGTGTTGTAAAATGGCTCCCTCTCGACACCAAACCACCGAATAAACATTTCGACATACACCTACCTTTTGATCCCTTGTCTATCCCAATAAGTTAATCGAAGACAATGATGCACCGCTTGTCAAGTCAATTTGACAGCTTGGAGCTGGTCGTATTTCTGATTCTGTATTTTGTTTGTGTTTTTTAATCACACTCGTTCCGACTTTGCCAATCCGTCTAGCTTGCTCCTGTCTACTTCTGCACAGACGAGCTAATCGATCGCAGAGCACAGCGCGCTCGAGCTCAAGCCAGGATTTACTCACAAGAGGGCTTGACACGCACAGAAGAATGTGCACTTTTAAAGTTGTTTTCACTCTTTTTGCTCTACTCGTGGAATATATTGCGTTTAAATCGCCACAAAATATTAGTTGAACAACATGGCAGACTGTGTGTGCCTTCCGGTAATGCAAATTTGGCTCTGCTACCAGAAATCGAATGAAGGAATTTCACGCATTAGTAAAACGTGAAGTAACGCAAAAATAACCAGATGTGTGTGTACAAACCCAATAGACTTTACGAAAAATGCGCACATATCTATGTGAACATAATGTGTGCACACCATAGACTGTAAAAAAGGAGAAAAAAACTATTTAAAAGAGCAAACGAATGAAACGTTTTCTCCTGTTGGAAGTTATGTGAAGCAGTTGAAATTTACAATACAGTATCAGGTCTCACAGAAACAGTAAATCCCTCATTTGCAAAAACACTATGATGTGTCATTCAGTCAATAATCACCCATACATATTTGAAAAATCTATTAATTTGTTAACAAAACAGTTGACCCTCCAAATCCAAAATCCGGATGCTCTTAAGTGACCACTTCAGAACAGGACCAGCTCATTATGCCTATGAGTGATCCAGAGATGTGAACCTGCTTCATCAGACCCATATAAAGAACATTTTGCAAACATTTAATATTAATTTCTGTTATATCAATAAAATATGAATAAATTACTTTAAATTAATTACTTATTACTTAATTAAATGAATTAATTAATGAACATAGCTATGATAATGACCAACAACATGGAGTTGTTTTCTTCATATTACAGCTATAAATAAAACCTGCTGTGTAAACCTGCAGACACACTCTCTCTGTTTAAATCTAGATTAAAGACACATCTCTTTGGCCAAACATTCAAATAATGCATCTCATAATCTTGTACTGCAGTTATATCTGATCAAATACACATTATTATTCTTTAGTTTGGGTTAAACAAATCAATTTTGCTTGGTTGGAACAGCAGCTACGCTAATTATGTTTATATTTGTTTCTCTGTTTTTTGCCCATAAAAAGGGCAAAAACTAGAATTTACACAAGCTTCAGTCTGGATCCAGAACACCTGAAAAGAGATGATGCCAACCCCTCATAGGACCTCAGATGATGCCAACCCTGAAACAACTTACAGAACTACCACATTTTGTTATAAGTTTGATTGCATCATATAATAATTGCTGTTAATAGTGTTCATCGTCTGTTTGATTACATCTTTAATTGATTTTTCCGTACATTTCTGCCATATGTACATACTGCTATATGTACATACTGACAGTCACCACTGATAAGCTACCACTAAATATTGTAGAAACTTAATTTGCTGTAAAGTTGCTTTGCAATGATTTGTATCGTGAAAAGCGCTATACAAATAAACTTGACTTAATGCTCATTCTGTGCTAGCATTCTTCTCTTGTTTTGACTTCCATTGTCCTTTGTTTTGTTTGTTTTTTCTGTTTCTGTATTAATTTTCAGTCAGACCTGACCACAATTAATATTTGACATTTAACATTTTTAATACATTTTAAAGTATAGCTTTAAACTGCAGTTGTTTTTTTCTACATTCCATTCCCACGAGACTCCATCCTATCCATAAACATCTACTGTAGCGTCTTTTTTTTGATCAGTAATTACAGGCATTCTAATAGATTTTAAATACATGACCCTGGACACTTCCGTAGGACTTTTATAAGAACTTTCGGGGCTTTTTCGTGCTATGATGTGTCTGGCTTCGCATTGCCACACGCGTTGTAATGACCTTCTGCTGACTAATAATAACTTGTTTTATTTTTCGACATTATGATATGAAATCGAGGTATGTTTTCATAATTTCTTAGAATCTGTCTCTAACAGATAAGCACTGCTTGTGCTGAGTGCACAGTTAGCATGTTAGCTTTTATAAAACGTAATTCAATTCAGCGGCTTAACTTTAAACGCACTGCAATGACTGTCCTCAAACAAAGGTTTAATAATGTTTTTTTTATGATTTGAATTGTAGGTAAAATGTTGAAAATTATAATCGGACGTCACATCCTTCGTAACTTTGGGGTGAGTGAAACGTTTAACCCATAAGGTTTTGTTCCACTTTCTATTTTATTTGACAGTTTTTCCCCCTTATGAGTAACAGTACTCTGTGTTACCTAATGGTAATAGACCTCCAACACGTGATGCATTTTCCGTTGTTTATGGGAATTCTCATCAATAATTGTTTTAACAGACATTTCTTTCCTCCATAATATCAGGGAAGGCAGTGGAGTGGCCTCCTGCAGGTGTCCAGCAAGTTTGCCTGTTTAGGGCAGCGGACCATTCACTCTTCAACACTGTTTACTAGAGGTTTATATGGACAGCTGCCGCCAAGACATGTTGATGGTTCTGTTCTGGGAGCCCAGTCATTTCACTGGTCTGCACAGAGACTGAAGAAACGTCTTCAGGAAGAGAGTCCACCAAGAGAACTTGATTTGGTTCGTTATGACATGAGAGACCTGAAGGAAGCTCCAAAGCCTGCCCTCTATCTTGGATTATCTGGTCTCATACCTTTTGTATCAGCTCCTCTACTTATGGCGGTCACAGAGCTGTACCTTCCTGAAGTTGCATTTGCTCAAGTTGCATACGGAGCGTCCATTGTTTCCTTTGTTGGTGGGGTACGCTGGGGTTTCGCCTTGCCTGCCGGGAGTCCAGCAAAACCTGACTGGCTCAATTTAGCCAACAGTGTGGTTCCCTCTCTGATTGCTTGGACAGCACTGCTTTTTTGCCATGACATTACGCAGTCTGCTGTGATTGTGATAATGGGGCTTGGGATAGCATTGCATTATGACCTCTCCCTCCTGCCCACATATCCCAGTTGGTTTAAAGCACTGAGGACCATCCTCACAGTTGTAGCCTTTTTCTCTTTGATGGGCACTATTGTCATTAAGCAGTATTATCCTGAGAAGAAGTATTTCTCTGATAGGTGAACTATGCACATTTGCATTGTCAATCCATTAATATTAAATACGTTAAAAGTGTCATCACTGATAAAGTTACACCATATTCTACATGTTTAAAGGTTTTAATTGCATTTAATTCCATTCTCTTCCTTTTTATAAAATATCAATTTTGTTTCTTGTTGTTCTTGTACGATTATTGTCCATACAGATATTATACTACAGTAGTGAATTCAAATTAAAATGGTTTTCCCTCACTTTTAATATGAATTTACATACTGTATCAGTTAGATTGTTTGTAATAAAATAAAAAATATAGAACTGCATACTTAAAGTTTCAAATGTTAAAAGGTGAAATGAAAATCTGTATTGTATTTAACAAGTAAACTTTCAGTTCTCAAAGTTTCTCTGATTATTTCTCTTTGTTGTCTTATCTCTTTTAATGATTTTAGAAAAAACTAATTCTGTGTAATATGAATATGCTACTGAGAGTTATCATTTTTAATGCTATTGCTTATTATTCTACATTACTTGATGGCAATTAATAAACTTTACAAAACTAAGGTGGCAGATGTGGCTTAATGGCTAGAGAGTCGGACTTGTAACCCAAAGGTTGCGTCAGGTCTGGCAGGAATTGTCGGTGGGGGGAGTGAATAACCAGTGCTCTCTTCCATCCTCAATACCATGACTGAGGTGAGACCCTTGAACAAGGCACATGGCTGCCCATTGCTCCGGGTGTGTGCGCGCAGTTGGATGGGTAAAATGCAGAGCACAAATTCCGAATATGGGTCACCATACTTGGCCACACGTCACTTCACAATCACACAATTTAAAGTTAGATCCACCAAAATGCACAGATTATTTTGCTACATGCTATTCCAAATTTATTGTACCTATTTTTTTCATGCTATGCCCTCCTACATAATTTTTCTGACACAAACCAAAAACGTATATATCTTTTGGCTTAAATGAATGCTTCATCTGTTCAACAATTCAGAATTCAGTGCTCCCTACACTGACTTGCAAATACTTCCCCGTCATCTCATTTCACAACCACATTCAATAACAAACATGGAGAATTTGCCATTGGGTATAATTGAATTAAAAATCAATCATATCAAGAAATCAAGAATGAAGAAATTAAGCCTGCTGCTCAGATTTGCTGAGCCTTCTTTTTTTCTCAGTATATCTCAATTAATTTGTTCACCTTGTACCATGCCATCTTTCAACCTACAATGATTGTGCAGAAGGAAAATGCAGTAATTGTTGTAAAAAAAAAATTACTTTCGTCTGCAGATGGCAGCAAAGACAAAGTTAAGTCGTTTTTCACCAAACCCGATCTTTTTACTTGCCCCTTCTAAACCATTGGATGAAACTACGTTACCAGATCAGCCCCCAGTGTATATGCAATGCAAGACATACAGACTGAACTCAGATCAGCGCTCCAGTGTACTACTTCCATTCTGCTCGTACAGACTGAACTCAGATCAGCATTAGGCTCGCACCGACGGTCATTCACTTGATCCGAGCTTTAGGAAGCTGTTAGATTTCCTCCCAGAAGAAAATCAACGACATGGACCAGCTCTGATTAGCAATTATTTTCGCCACCGAGCCGTTTCCCCTCACCGACGAGGTTGACGTTTGAAGAAGAGTGAGATTGGAGGAGAAAAGCGGAGCTTTGCCCCCGCAGGATGATCCGTGTCAAAATACAGCTCGCGAGTCTATGGACCTGACTCACGAGACATGATGAACAGTTGAGCTCGCGCTGTGTTGTGGCGCCGCGCAAAGTATCTCGTCAGTTTTGACGGGATGAAGAAAAATTGCGGTTTTGTTTTTGTTATGGCTGAGAAAACTCCGGAATGCTAAAGTATTAGTTTACAGAGAAGAGAGAAACTTGAAACTGGTTGACTTGAAACTGCGGCAAACACGTTGGAAACGCCGCGCTATTCAGCGTAATGGTGACCTGTCCTTCTAATCTCACATTGACAGCTACGAGCCCGGCGAGTATATTTACACATTGTTTTTAAACAGTTACGTCATTTTTTTGTAAACCCGAAAGGCGTTTATTTTGCGGATGTTGTCAA